ACTATGGAGATAACTCTAAGGGACCAGCCAGAAAGTCCTGTTTATTGATCAGATACTGCAAAGAGCACCCTATGTGCTTAAAAGATTTTTGTTAACTCCTATGGAAAAGCCTTTGACTGGGAAAATGTGCTCTGTTTCCCCTTTTTAGATAAAAATTAGCAAATAAGAATGTTTTCAGTGGTGCATGGATAGGAGTTTAAAGAAGCCGTCTCTAAGTGTTATTGTCACAGATGCTGAAACAAAGCACTGCTACACAATTCGGTCTCTAAACTCATTTCATTGGCTTCTTTCTAGAGCTTCCACACCAGCATTACCTGGGGATTGAGTTCAGAATCATGCATTCACCTACCTTTCCTGTTGCTTTTGGAGTGTGACCAGATTTCAGTTGATTAAATGAAATAGGGAAAGCTCTGTGGAAAGAAAGGGGGGAAATGTTGAGACCCTGCTATTCACAGGTACAGCATACCATGGATGATGCTCTGGATATTCACTGGCTGAAGATCAGAGTATAGGCCATTTATATTTCTGTTGATGTATGCAAAACTGAGCTAAAAGGGATTTCACTTCTAACACATGCTGTTTGAGGATCCGTACTGAATATGGTATCTCGTGTTTGAAAGAAATTAAAAACCAAAACCAGCATAGTGTGATTTTGAAAGGGCACGCCTTCCTTCTAGCCTGGTACCTGAATCTGCCCCTCTTTCCTCTGTATTTCTGCCTCCCACCTCCTGTTCCGGCCCTGGCACCAAACCAACAGGCTCACGGGCCAAGCAGGATGGGTGGCACAAGCACTGGGGCAGCCAGTGATGCAGGAACGAGGCACTCATTTCCGTGCAGCTCCCCATGCCTGCATGATGCATGATTAAATGAGGGGGAAGCAGCCCAACCCTGGCCTCATATTCCAGATGAGTGTCCTCTCTCCAAGGCGTGAGCGGTGCCTCAGTGGTGTGTAATTTACCTTGTGCATGAATTTAATTCTCTACTGTCACATTTCACTTGCATGCCTCTAACTTTAGATAAGAAGAGCAATGCTGCCGGTATTTGGTACCAATGGCAAACTGCCATGAAACTGATGCATTCCACCAGCTGCATGAATTCCTGTTATTGTTGTCATCATCGCTACTTGTTAATTTAATTAAAATATCGGCTCCAGAACCTAAAGTGAGATTAGGTTGCTATTACACCCGATGCAGTACAAAATTATGATGGATGACAGTTTCCTGCCTGAACAAGTTTATGGGTTCATTATATTGCAGAATGGCCTGTAAAACCTATTTGCTTAAAAATACGGTATTGACCATTCGCATGCTACTTAGGTTGGTACTTGCTGTCCAGCAGCAGTAATTAACATGATAGTATATGTTTTAGATAAACAGAGAAAAATTCTGTTCCCAATATTGGTAATGCTTCCCCTCCAAAAAAAGAAAAAGTTTACTAGCAACTTATTTTCAAATCTTTCTTTGCCTTTCTGTTTGATATTCAAAGACCATACCTTGCTTTCATCCACACTAGTGAAATGCACTGACATGATTATTTCAAAGCCCAGTCTTTAATTATGTAGTACCTTAAAATGCATAATCTTTCTAACTTCAGCCAGACCATTTTGAAATGATAAAGAATTATGAAGGGCATAAAATTAAATGGCAATATTTTGTTGAGATAAAGAAATACAAATCCACAGAAGGAAAGAAAAACAACAAAACCTATGGACTTTGGGGTCAGCAACTAGCTCTGACAGAATCTGATAGATTTTCATTTGGAAAATGAGGTCATTGTTGAGCAATCAATCTTCATAATTTTACAGCTCCTCCTCATCATCTTCATTTTACAATTCATAATTATCTTCATTGCTTTTTGAAACCATGGTGAAGAAAAAAATAAAACAGACAGAATTTGGCTAGGTAAACCGAACAGACGTTAAAAACAAGAGGACAGAGGGGGGGTTACAAAGATGAGGAAAATGCCATTTCAACTGCTCCTAGAGTTTTAGCACCTTTTTCTTCTCACCGGTTTGCTCTGCCACTGTTGCTGTACACATCGGTAGTCTGGTTTCTGCTTTTCCCTCTCTCCATTGTTCCAGCCTGCTGTTTAGCCAAAAAGGACATCTAGCAACAATCACCCAGTGTTATGGCATAGTCTTTATACAACAGTCAGAGACAGTGGTAACCTATCGAGGGAATAAGGCTCATCCACTTCCATAGAAGCAAAGAAAACGATAAAGACAGATTATGTAATGGGCCTCAAAAAAATAAGTGGCCAACTGAATGCATTCATGGCATATATCCTCTGTAATCTGTTGAGGACTGGTAGAAAAATATCACAATAAACAACTAGAGACTCAGTGGAAGTTGCCTTTCTCTATCACTTTGACTGCATTTAGTTCAGAGCAAAAGGTGTCAATGAAAGATGTTGTGAGGATGCCCTTAGGACACGACTCAGTTTGAGATTTGCAGACTTCTACATAGATAAATGTTTAAACGTCTATTATATGCCTTGCTTGCTGTGGGGCTTGATGCCCCACAGATGGGTGTCTAGTGCCATTTTAGATGCCTAGGTGCGTCCCACCTAGCTCTCAGCTGCTGCTTCATTGGTGCTGGATGCTAGCCCCCTGTAGGCATCTTGGGTTCCCTAAGGCACCTTAGGCGGCACAAGGTAAATGATTCACATCCTGCGTATCCACTAACTAAAGCCTGAGCTTACATAGCCATCCTGGCTGTAGCTATAATCAGTGCTTAGACATTTACTGTAATTATAAACACCTACCTGAACAGATTAAATTTAAGAGTCTTAATCACAAAACTCGTCACACAGTCTAGGTCTTTCAACATGTACTACAGATTTCCTATATATTCTATGGTAATTTGGCACCTGAATTTTTCTAAGAATCCAATTCTTCCTTTCACTCTTCAGCCTGGTCCCTCAGTTTGGTACCCTTATTACAGATAGTCTACACCAGTATGCACTAGGGGTCAGGTTTTTACCATCTGCTACAGCTTGAGTAGAAAGAGAAACAGCAGAACAAGCCTTGGCTTCTGTCCTAAGAAGCAATGCAGATTAATGTAGCAAACTGGGAGGATATCAGACACTGGGAGAATGAAGTGAGATTGAATGACACTCCAACTACAAACATAAGGCTTCATAAATGTCTCAGTTTAAAAACACCAACATTTTATGGTCACTCTCTATTCAGGACGTCCCTGAAAATAACACATAGGCCCTCTTTCTCTTCTCCTCCCTCCAGACATATGCTTTAGCTTCAAATATTTTGAATACTGATATTTTCTTCTGACAGGGGTCTTAAGATTATGAACAAGACCAAATGGGGTTTGAGATAAACAAATGTCAGAACAGATAACAACATCCCAAAGCTGTATCTTATTTGTACTAGTAGAGGAAACTGGTTTGCCTTGCATAAACATAACAATAAGATAAAAAAGAGGGAAAAGAGTTTTACCATTTAGTTTATTGCATACATAAAAATATGCAGCTGCTACAGCAGTCACAGCATTGCACTGATTTCCTGCAGAATATCTGCCGTACAATTCCTTTATTTTGTTCTTACACATGTAGGGCCTGATTCATTTGCCATTTAGTGAAAAATTGACCACTCTTTTCAGTAGGCTATGGGACATCATCTGTTTCTTACAATTAGTTACATGCTTTCTCTAAGTGTTTGTTCTTTAAGTGTTTGTTACTTGGAAAATACGCAGCTGACTATAGGACGGAATGACTTTTTTAGAAGGCACTAAAAATTTGAACAACCTTCAAACCTAATAATAGTTTTACATAGCACTTACAGAAAAAGAAGACAAAATTATTGGAGTTGTTATTTGTCTGCTTGTTAATTTTTTTTTAGATGAGTTACGACTGCTTGCTACAATTTAATTTTTTTTTCTGATAAAATGTTCATAACAGTGAGGTAGAAAATAGTACAAAATTTTGCCATGCAGCTTGCTGCTGAACAGAGATCTCAACTTATCAGCATCTACAGTTTTAAAATTGGCCTCGTGAAAGAATATAAACATAGCTGAAGAAAACTGAGAACCTACACTGACTTTTTTGCTCAGACCAAGTATGTAAGCATATATTATCTCTGTAGGCTGACCTACACATTTCATTGGAAACAAGCAAAGGAGCATGCGGAATCATACGATTGTCGGGGAAAAGAAATTAAAAAACCCCAAAACATAAAACATCATAACACCTATTGACATATGGAGTTGGAGTACCCAGTGTAGCTCCTGGCCTCCCTCTTCCCCCTTCTTCTAACTCATTTTATGCAGCAAGAGTACAAAAGGCACAGAGCAAGGCAAAAAGAGTGCTCAGAGGTATGGAGCAGCTTCTTTACATGCACAGATCAAACAGGCAAAGATTCCATGGGTTTCAGTGGAGACTACTGAGGAGTTCAGGATTGTACCTCCCACATGTAGCCTTTAGTTTAGGGGCATGTCCCTGTGGGCTAGAAAAATAACGTAAAAAATGTCGGTATATCCTTACTCTCTCATCTACTGTTGGCCACTAGCTTAGGCATGCATTTGATCTCACCTGTAGTTGCATCCTTACGCCTTCTTGTATTTAAAAACTGACATACACAGTACGTAATTATGTAAGGCAGCACCACACGTGTTGTGTAAAAATAAGACAATTGCCTGTGAAGAAAGTGTCCACAGAAACAGGCAGCAACTATTTCAGGACAGGATGGACAGGGTCCTCTTCTGTAGCTGAATACAGCCAATTTTCAAACACTTGTCAGCATCACATGACAAACGCAAGACTTTAGTAAGGCATGTTTGCTGGGACAAATGTTGTGGAAGTTGAGTCACAGAATGGCATGCCTACTTAAACCTGGGATCTGCCCAAGCCAGCTGTTAAAAAAAAAAAAGAAGAAGAAGAAGAAGAAGAAGAGAAAAAAGAAGAGAAATACTAGCTAAGTGAGTGTTGAAGAATATGAATGAGAATATGGCCTACAGTATTTTATACAATGCAAGTGAAATCTCAGGTCATTCCTGGTGCAAGTCTACTGTAGATATCCTGGAACAAAAGATACTATGAATTAAGACTAGTTTCACAGCTTTCCTGGACTAGCAGTAGGAGAATACATAGATCAAGGGATTTTAGGCAGAATTGAAGTAAACGAACCAAATTAGGATGTCAAACAGATCGGGGAAGGGAGGGAAGAAATCAAGAAGAGTGTCTACTGTGGTGTCAATAGTAAAGGGTAACCAGCACAGGAGGTAGACTCCTACAGCTACCCCAAGAATCTTTGCTGCTTTCCCTTCGCTCTTGGATGCTCCTACATGTAGCTGAGACCCGCGAGACCTATTCATGTTGCTTATCAGCCTGGCTTGCTTGTTAGCCACAGTAAATATTTTTACATAAAAAACAATCATTATGAGGCAAGGGAAGAAGAACACTGGGAAGTTCAACCACTCCCAGAGCTTGTTGAACAGCAGCTGACAGCTACCAACACAGGGCATGCCTCGCAAAAAATGGCCCTGTCCTTCTGCAATCACTTTAGTGTAGAGGAAGACAGAGGTATAAGCCATAGGCACTGACCACCCCACCCCAATGTAAATGCAGACCACTCTTACGGTGAACTTGGTGGGACAGAGCAAAGGGTCACAGATGGCACAATGCCGATCAATGGAAAAGGTGAAATACGGAGGTCAAGCGAAAGATTGGTCTAGAAAGGTGTGCAGCCTACAGAAGTCATCTCCAAAATATCAGCAGCTGTCTATGGAAGGATGGTGCTAAAGGGCAGCACGACTGGCCCCAGGAGGAGGTCAGCAAGGTTGAGGGAGAGGAGCAGGAGGTTGGTGGGGATGTGCAGGACTTTGAAATGGGAAATTATGGTGGCAACAAGCAGGTTCCCCAGCAACGTGATCAGTGTGCCCAAGGCACAGGCCAGATAAATGGCCAACTGGACCCTGAAGGGGTGCAAGGTCCTGTAGCAGGAGCCGTTCGCCTGGTAACAGAAGGTGGCAAGCATCCCCCCCTCAGCACCGGGGCCCTGGGCGAGCTTGTGCCAGCCTGCCCAAGTGCCACAGTTTCCCCCAGCTCTGCCACAAGCCTGGGAAAGGATTCAACTTCCATCAGAGGTGCCAAATGGCTAACCTGAAAAAAAGGTAATAATAAGGCAGATTAGAAGGAGAGATGTCTTTTAATAAAATACTTTTATTAAAGCCATGGGACAGTTTCCATATTCCAAGTGAAGCAATGAGCCTGATTTACCTGTTTTGTATCTCTATTGAAATAAAGCCGCTCCAGATCAGTGTATTCAATTTTTATGGCATCATTTTTTATATTATATTTTGGTTTTCTTTTAGCCAATACTGTGAGTAGTGCAGGAAATGCAGAAAATCCAGAGGTGCGTGGGCAAACAGTCAATAAAGAGAAGGTCTGCTTTAGAAGGAAAACCAATGCTGAGTAACGGGCATTGCACACCAAAGCTCCTTAAGGGATCTGAAAGCTGACTCTAGTATGGTGATGCACTGGTTCTCATGAATTTCCCCGGAAATGAAATTCCAAATTAGTTATGATTTTTTTTATTAAGTAGAAGTTGTGAAGTCATCATTCTAAAACAAGTAATATCTGATTGCAAAGGAAAATCTCTCAGGGAAGTTGCTCATTTTATAGTGTTCTGGCTATGGGGATATATATAGATATCCATTGTGTTGATGACACAAATATTCAGCAAGGCAAACAGAAATGTTGTTATATGCCCTGAAGATTATCCCTGCTTTTTACTTATGAAATTGCTATTTAAGTTATTTAATTTTTAATTTGAACTGTAAGAAATATGTCATACTAACAGATTATAATGGATTGTTCAGTAGTCTTTTTAATAAATCAGATAACTGAACAGTACGATTTTTAACAGTAAGACAACTACAGTTAAATACATGACATTTTTCAATATGTATTTTTGTTCTTGAAATGACTGGTATAATAGCTGGAAATTATTCCCACCTTTCCCATCCTTCCCAGCAGCAACAAAATATAACAGCAAATCTCTCTTAATTGTATTTCCATAAACTTCTAAATCAGGAATACTTAGAGTAAAATATCTCTTTTCATAGAGTGGGAGCTGTACTGAAGCGCACTGAAATCCTTTTCCAAGTTCATGTCTACTTCCCGAGTGGAAAGTGTGAGACATTATATAAACCAGCTGGAGAGAGAGTCCCTGTAGGTGACTAATATACCTTAGGGCATAGAGAGAACGTTGTGTGATTGACAGAAATTGCCATTTTCTAAAAAGAAGCTTAAATGCACACGTGCTCAGCTGCTGTTGAATCTTTGAATATTTATATTAGAGTTTGCTGTGAATTTTCTTTTCTTCGGGTGTTCCTGCAAAAAGATGCACCTGATGCCAGAATTAAAAAAAAAAAAAAAAAAAAAAAGGATATTTTATTTCAATAAGTTAATAAAAAGAATTAATAAATTCACATATTTTATCTGTTATCTTTGAAATTAACAATGCTTATATTTGTTACAGTCTAGGATTGTCTTAACCCAGAATAAAATTATTTTATTTTGGTTTTTTGATCTTGTTATCCTTTTACTGTGTCCTTTTTTTCCTTTTATGTCAAATATGGAATTAATAATATCTTAATAAAGTGAAGAACCCCAGTAATTCACCATATTCAAAACATTCCCTCTTGTCATTTTTTTCTGTTCAAACTTTTTTCTGAATGTGACACCAAAATGCAGTTTTAAGTGAACTTTGTGTTTAATGATTTAGCAGAAGAATTGCAAAAGGTGTGACAGAAAATGTCAAAATACACACAGAAAAAAGCTGAATGTTACATACACTGGTTCAAGAGCTCTCTGCAGAAGAATTAATTAATAACAGCTTTTAAAGATAATCCCAAGGCTGCAAAGTAGGGGTGCAAGTATAACCAATATAGTCCTTTCCTATAGCTCCTGATCCCCTTTGCTGTTGTTTGCAGCAAGCAAAACACATGGCAACTGGGAACAATATAACCAAAACAAACAATATGTTAATAGGGCCTGTTAATTCACATTTCATAAGAAAAATTAGAAACTTAAGATATTTTAAATGGTTAAAAAGGGAAGGGAGAGGGAGAAGTAAGGTGGTGTACTGCACAGCACTGTGGAACAAAATTAATGAAGCATTAATAGTGAAATACAAGCCACCAAGTAGTCCAGCCTGTGAAAAGCATCAAATGGCCTCCAGCCATCTGGATGTGGCCTGTGCAAAGCTGCCTTTTTACACTGGACAATTTTTTAGTGGCACTAATTGGGGGGGGGGGGGGGGGCGCTTTTTGGGGCGCGGGCGGGGGGCCACTCTTCTGGGCACAGTCAGCTCCCTCTGCCTTGGGCAGCACGAGGAGCAGGAGAGTGCATGGCAGGGGAAACAGACCTTCCCATCGCCTGTCCTCTGCTGCTTGGAGGCACCTGCACAGCACTGACCTGCAGCCAGACTGCTGATCCCAGACCAGGCAGATACCACTCACTCCCTGCAATCTCCACCAAAAGAAGCAGAAATGGGCAATATAATTGCACGCAATTTCTTCCTTGCTCAGCTGGTGTGGGGCCTGTGAGACTACAGAGGATGTTCTGGTCCAAGTCTGCTCTATGGGCATCAAACATCACTTTGAAACCCTGTAGAAACACATTTTCTTCCTGTCTGACTTGGCAACGTGGCACTGCTGGTAGTGTTACTTGAATGA